TTTTTTTAAGCAAATGCTCCAATCTATTCATGGGGAGCAGCACGTGCCGGGAACCGGGCCCAGCGTCCCATATCGAATTGTACAGATCATTAAGAACATTTGAGAACATTTGAGATCATTTGAGATACCGGGGCCATTACCCGGCTTCGGCTGAGATCAGTCTGTGAATATCTAATGACCTATTAAGTTGTCATCTTTTGCTTTGCAATTCTATTCTAGAAGACATAGCAAGCCCACATGGCACTGCAGCATTGTGCCATCGCAACGTATGTTAGACTCGCACCTACACCTCACGTCCCGTATTGCGCCACTCTGATAACACCCACAAAACACATATGCACATATCTGGGTTACACCCGCGGGGACGCAGCCGGCCCTTAAGGAACCCCACGCGTCCTTGGGGGTGGGTTTGGGGTAGTGCTGACCTGCGGCTCGCTCCTCTAAGTTTGCCTGCCATAGGGGTCTGGGCAGTAGTGTAGAGTGTCGGTGTCTTTTTTTTTTTTTTTTTTTTTTTTTTTTTTTTTTTTTTTTTCGGGACAGTGTCAGTGTCTCAGTGCCAGTGTGGCTGATCATCCGAAAAGCGAAAAGACCACCAAAGCATCATCGGCTTGGTCAGCTTTTACGTAACCAACGGCTTAATACTACGCGGGATCTACGCGGGATCATCGAACGGCGCTAAAAGCTTTGACTATCACGACAAATTGAATATCCATCTAGGCTACCAGCCGGGCCGCCCGGGTCACCCTATTTTCCCGGGCGGCCCGGCCATGCAAGGACGAGGGAAAAAATCCGGAAAAAAAAAACTATGTCATGCAGAAAAGTTGGAAGTTGACTCATAGCTTTGGTCCTAAGCAGTACTCTAACTACCCTAGGCCTCTAGTGCCTTTTTACCTCATCCCCATGAGTCTTACTGGGGTGAACTGGTCTTACTGGGGTGAACTGGTTGACCTAGCGAAAAGGTATGTCTCACCAGCACAGATTGACTACGAGGCAGTGACTCGATCATCAGAGTTCCGACATCTCAGACGAGGGATCTTCTTCATGCCATATCTTCCTAATTTATGGAAGGAGTTTTATGCCATGCTTGATTTTCGAATCTTTGGTCTTGGATGAACCTACTCAAAATTTGCTGGCTTTAGGTGACTCTACATCTTTAAGCCACAATCTCAGGAGGCACGTAGACATGGCTCAAAGCGAGAGATTGACGATAATACTAGAGAGGGATGAGTGAGGACTCTTGACTAGTGCTGACCATGTTTTTCCATCTATACTTTCTGAGATTACTATGAGTTCTCAACTTCCCTCATTCATCTTGTCTTTGCCTTGAGTTAGTCAGTCCTAATTCGTTTGCATTGACATTACCTGAGATTATGCTCTCTGCTCATCTTCCGACAGTTCTCAAATTCCTAAATTGGCAAACTTAGTATGTACATGGCATACTTAAAATTTTCAATTTATTATTTGCATGATCGTTGTTGTTCCCAATCATAATTAAAAATTCCCAAGACCGGGGACCGGCGTAGACCGTAATTGAAGCTGGATGCACACAACAGGATGAGATTTGTATTATTTATTTATTTAATTCTTTATTTACTGCAAAGGTTCGAGCAAAATCATGTGTGACAGCCTGTTGTCTTTCTGATCGCCGAGAGTAGTCTGATTGGAAAACGTGCGACAACGGTCGTGCATCTGTGCACCCTGCACAGCCGGGCGGCTGCACTTGTCACCCTTTCAAGTTTTTTTTTTTTTTTTTTTTTGAAAAAAGTGGTGATGGGGGCCAGTACATGCAGAGAAGTGTTCGAATCTTCCTTTTCCACACATGTAGAGAAGTGGTGATGGCAGGAGGGAGGCGGCGGACGACACGAGAGTGAAAGAAGATGGCGGAAGAAGATGGCCAAAGTGGCGGGAGGGAGGCAGAGGATGGTGTGCAGGACATGGGAGGTGGTGGGAGGGGAAGTAGGAGGTAGTGAGAAATAGGCGGGAGACGGCGGGAAGGAGGTGGTGAATAGTGGGAGGGGAAGTGTGAGGTGTCGGGAGGTAGGAGAGGAGGAGAGGAGAGGAGAAGAGAGGAGAAGAGAGTAGGAGAGAAGAGAAGAGGAGAAGAGAGAGGGGAGGAGGGGAGAGGAAAGGAGGGGAGAGGAGGGGAGGAGGGGAACGGAGGGGAGAGGACATACACCGCCATATTTTTTTACTGCAAAACACAAAAAATGTGGCGGTGTATTTTTGCATGTTCTAGCGCTTCATCCTCATATTGCATGACATACACCTATTGGGATCGGGGACAGGTGAGCCGCATGCACAATGGCAATGAAACTTCCTCTAGAACATGGGAAGATACACCGCCAGATTTGCCTTCCTATCGGGATTGGGATGGGGGATAGGTGCACCATATGCAAAGGGAGATAAATCTTCACCACCATATATCTTCTCTACGACAGACGAAAAAAATATATGGCAGTTTATCTTCCCATCTTCTAGCGGCAGATTCATTCTTATTTTGTATAACGTCCACCTATTGGGATCGGGAACAGGATAACGGCATGGGAAGATACACCAACATAGTTTCTGACTTTTGTGCATGTGTTGAGTAGTGGAGACACACCCATGGGCACTCTCTCTCTCTCTCTCTCTCTCTCTCTCTCTCTC